GTTTGGAAAGCACTTTGGATCTCTGTGTCAAAAAGTTGCTATATAAATATTTTTTACTTACTTACAGTCGAGTAGCACATCAGACGCATGTTGTGCCGACTCTTAGAGGCACTAACAGGACAAACGTCTGCCAGGGAGCATAAACGAACAATGTCTGGTAAACCTGCGTCACAAGGCGCACACAAGCAAATATTTATGTCTGTCATTTCGCCTGCTCATTGCTCGGGCCATGTGTTTATCTGTGAGGGGGGTATGATTGCAAAAGATGCTTTGAAAGCTAAGCTAAAGGTGGAGCCAGAAGTACATGGCTCAGCATTATTCCAGCGAGCAGTTAATTGAAGTGCAGCAGCTCATGGTCCGCTGCTTCTCTTAAGTGCCCAAACTGATGACATACAGCGCTTTGCCTTAATCTGCAACCTTTTGATCTTTGATGAGTCGTTAAAGTCCTTCTTTAGTGCAGAAATGGAAAACACTCTCTGGTTTCAGCTTCTCAAATATGAAGACTTGCTGCTTTTCTTTGCCTCATGTGAAAGTACACTGAATATTCTGCTCGTTTTGGACTGCTGGTTGGACAAAAACAAGACTTAAAGACTTAACTTTGGGCTTTAGAGACTGAAGAACACAATGAAGAAGCAGAGCTGCTACGACAGATGAAGTGAGGAGCTCACTGACGGCAGACAGGTAGAGTCCAGAGGCTCATTTCACCAGTTTATCACCACCAACAAAGTCACGTTACATCATTTCTGACACAATAATCTAATAAAGTTTAGTCTAGACCAGCGCAGTTAACGAGAGCCCCCGAGAGTGACGCTCATCAAATTGACACCAGGTGGCTCTAATTGACGACACCTGCTCATTAGCCTCCATATTAAATCAGCTGTAACTTGACAAACTCGGCTGAAAGCATCCGTTTCATTATCAGCTGAGAAGTAATAAGAAAAACGTATTTTATAACTGTACAATGTCCGGCTCAGCAAGTATCTTAGCATCCTAAGCCAAAGATATTTGTTTATGTTATATTATATATATTTTTTTGTCCTGTTCCCCTTTTGAAGTCAAAAATAATTTAGATTTTGGACACAAATGAAACAAATCTCAAACATAAATCACTATATTTACAATAAACTTCAGGGGAAAATAAGCACAATTATATTTTGGATCTGACGGTTTTTATTCCCTGTCCAACTTGTCCGTGTTGCTTTGTCTAAAGGAATCTTTGCATTGAAAGAATTGTTATTTCTTCATGAACCATCGACTCTTTTGCCTCTGCTCATCTACGCCTGTTTGAGGTGCAGTTAATAAATTAAAGTTACTTCTCCAAGATGTACATCAACCTCAGACAGTTCATTTAGTTAGCGAGCTCAGGGGACGTTAGAGATTAAAACAACTTCTGAGACGATGAACACTATAAAATAGATGTAATGAAGTGACTGTACGTGTGATTTACTGGATCAAAAAAGGAAAGTAGGTTCGTTCCAATTAATTTAAATATTGGCAGAAGTGCAATATGCAAATTATAATTTCTGGATGAAGGTAAAATGTGTAACAAGACAACATTATAATGAAGTGCTGCAGAGATGACCTGATCTACAAATCGTGTTCTCCAGTAAGAAAACATGTTTGTTTAGTTCAGATCATGTGATTTAAATATTTTCAGTGAAAATTACATTTGAGATGCTTTTTCCTGGTTAAATAAAGGTTAAATAAATAAAATCATTCTCACACTAATTGTGAATCAT